ATGACGTCAGGATGGCGCAATTTGTTCTAAAAATAGAAAAATTGTCCCATATCATAGGTTCGCGCGAATCCCGAGACTTGGGTCTGCGTCCCCGATTATGGCTCCTGATGTTTACCTGATAGTCGGTCAGTGGATTATGCTAGTAGCTGGTAGTCTAAAAAGAGTCCATCAGAAAACTAGAAATCCGATTACTGTCCCAGGCAATTTATTTTAATAAATTTACACCCTATAGTGCTGCCGCCGCTGGAGGATGGCACCACTATGTCATCCAACACTGATCTTTTGTCAAAGTTCGAACTGATCCAGGACAGGCGTAAGTTGTTCCTCGTATTTTCTTTCTTTATTTTGTTTATTTTTGCTTTTTCGTTGTCCCTTTGTCTTATGAAAGGTCACTCACCAACCGCATCAGTTTATATTACGCTCAATCAATAAAACTTGTTCAAGCCCCAACGGACTGATTTGTTGTGTGGCTTACATGAAGTGTGTAGCCACATTATGGGGCGATCGGATTTATGTATTTATTTGTTTGCCCACGAGAGTCGAGCGCCTGTCACGTGGTCTAGTGTAGTACGGCACACTAGTCTGAATCAGCCAATTTGGTTGTGAGTGTGGTCTCTAGTTGTTTCCCCCGCTTTTAGTTTTAAAGGTAAGTCGTTTTTCATTGTGAGCTTGGTTTTGAGTTCATTTCTTTTACGTGTCGAAAATGTAGCTTCGTAATTAATTACAAATAGCGAAACCCGTTTGCAATTGTTGTTTCACTTTCAGGTATTAATACAAGTCGACAAATCGAGACAAACAAGAGTTTATTGCCTCACGAAAGCTAGGACAGACTTGGCATGTGTCCAGTGCAGGTTCTATAGGAGCCATTATACTTTTGAAAGCCAATATTCATTGCTTTGAACCGTCAGACGTTTAAAATGTCTCCATCGGCGACCACAAATTCAAAGACAGTATCTCTTTGTTCAAATTAGATATTCAAAAGTAAAATAAATTACCAGATTAAAGTTGGCTTGCATTTGTTTACTGTACTTAGAAATCATAATCACATTGTTCGAATAGTGAGCTTATTATATTTGGAGATTTACTCAGGTAATAATCGGGTAACGGAGGAAAATCGAGTTTTCCTGTATGTATCTTTGTGGGGACACCAATTTGCCCCTCCCCCCCAAAAAAAATTCGTCAGGGGCGAATGACGTCATCTCCATTTTCGTCCATGTGCTTTCTTTCGAGTGTTGTCAGTGCAATATTGTGGACTTTCGAGTATTGAGAAAGCTTACTGTGGACTGTAGTAGATGAGTTGTCCATTTAAAGTTTCAAGGAAGTGTTAATGGCATTTAAAAACCTTGCAGACATGTCTTCACGAAATGTGTACGACTTTTTGTGCGAACAGAAAGCTGTAGTTTGGCTGCGTGTTGTGTACCCTCTTCTCTTCAGCCAAAACCAATGCTGCTTTTGAAATGTGTACTTTTCACTTCGCTGGCGTAGATTTCTGTGCGCAAAATATGTAACATAAACCCAGCGAAAGTGTTTACATTGAAAAAGAGTTCAACTCGCACAGGATAGCTTTGGCACACCAGGGCAACCCTAAAACATGGAATCCGGAACCGGAACCGGAATCCGGAATCCAGAATCTGTAATCCGAAATCCAGATATTATGAATGACGATAGAAATAACTCACTTCAGCAATGTCTAATAAATAAATATAGGGAAAAATTTTTTTTTTTTTTCATTTTCTTTGCTTTACTTCAGCCACAAACTGTAATTGTTAAGAAATTATTGACTATTGTAGTTCTGAACAACCCTTACCTATACATCTGGCCCGGTTGTTCAATAGCTAGATAAAGCTATCCATTGGGTAAATCAAAAGGCCAAATTTACACCTCCTGTAAACTGCAGTTCACTTATTAAACAAAATGGCAATTACCAGCAAGCTTATTTTAGACGCTCTCAGGGTGCTTGGAATCAAATTACAACGCACGATATTTAGATTCTCATAATCATAGCCCTTGCTAGAAATAATCATTGCACGAATTTCAATAGATGGGAAATTTTTGTTTCAAAAAAGGATAAGTTTGAGGTCCTTTTTACTTGGCCTCTTACGTTTTACAGGTAAAAGCTATGCAAAGTAATTTTCGCGTATTTTAAGAACTTGTTTTCTTTGATTTATGGATTCCGGATTCCGGTTTCCAGTTTCCGGTTCCGGATTCCGTTCTCCGGTTTCCTAGTTTTAGGGTTGCCCGCACACCAACATGTCCTCCGTTTCATTGTTTCGGAAGTGAAAATGCTCAGCAGCTGTTTCCCCAGAAGCCAAGGCGGAAGATGTAAACCCAATTTATTTGAAAACACTCTCTGTAGGTATAGACGCTACAGAAATCGATGCCACAGTTTGAATGCACAGTTTTTAATCATGGTTCGCATAAGCGCGAGAGTAAATAAGAGTAATTATGGGTGTGTGTGATGTAACGCGATGTCATGTGATGTAATGTGATTCAACTGAAAAATAAACAAGACAAAATACCTAAGTACAAAGATATAACTGCAAACTAAAAGCGGAGAAAAATAAACTCACAAACTGTGACGAGTCCAACAGGATAAATCTCTTGACAACAATAATTCGGAACCTCACAACAGTGGAATTCTACTCCGAAACGCGGTAGAAACCGGGAAAAAACTAACCGCCAGCCGCAAACAAGCACTGACAATATGCAATATGCATAATGATCGGTTAAGTACTAATGGGTTGGTTACGTAATTCCCATAGGTAAGCGGCACGCAAAAACCTGGAATTTAAAATACTCAAAGAAAATTCTAGTTGCTACACTCTCATAGAGTTTTTCCAAACTTTACAGTCTTGAAGATCTACATCCAGAATTCAAGAGGCTTTTGGTCATTTTAAAAGTTCAGATCTAGATTTGAAAAAGATTGTTGATAACGGGAAGCCGCAACGCCGTCTATAGACGTTTTTTCCTTGGGCGGTTTGTTTTCCATTACAGACCACGTGATATTCTCTAGAGCATTCTTTTATCCATCTTAAAATGATTTATTCATATGCACAGGACTATTTGAAAACTTAAAAGGAAGAATTCTCAAGAGTATCATCACATGGTCTGCAACAAACCGCCCAGTCGAAAAAGGTCTATTTGTTGCCATTGTAGCAGCGATGTTTATCGAACCTTTTTGAAAAGTTTGTTTAATCTTCAGTAACTGTGTGAAGCAGCTATCCCGACCGAGCTAACACCATGAATAATCACCCGTTCATAGTTGAAATGGTGTGCCTCTGAAACTTTAAACAATTAACGTCCTAGCTCTGGCTTCCCATGATTCCATTGTTTCTCGTTGGCCATTCGCTCGTAGAAGCACCAGTAGTATAATTGCCAATTGTTGAAACGGTTTAGCGGAAAAACAAATATCATTCATCGATTGAGAGGAGTTTTTATTCAATTAAGGAAGTGCAAGTGATAAATAAAGAAATCCCCTTTATTTGAACATATGTTTATACGAGTAGTGTAGGATGCTCAACAGGTCCCTTGCTAATCAGAGCGCAGAACATTTTGAATCTACTGATTCGAGAGCCGTGTTTTGGACAAGTGCCCTCCTTATACGTCACAGGGCCTGAATGTAACTGGCTTTAATATTGTGATAAATAAATAAATCTTCTTTATTTAAAGATATGTTACGAGTAGTGTAGGCGCTCATGAGTGCCCTAACCAATCAGAGCGCAGGGTTTTTTGAACGGACCAAAGAACAAAGTCAAAGCAGAGACAACAAGGGAAAAGCCAGGTTCCATTTTGAAGACTAATTTACCATTTTTCTTTTTTTTCAATGATTAATAGAAACAACACAGTGGAAGTTTGGAAGTCAAGCCGGGCAGGTAATTATTCAATTGTTGCGATAACAGTAACAACATATCAATTTTTCTCGAAGTTTTAAAGGATTGCTGTAGAGAAACCCAAGGCATTAAGAGATTTTTCGAGTACCGTTTGTGTGTTTGCATTGTTGTTTCAAGAAGGGTTATCCCTGAAAAGCGAAAACGGGCAGGCAACAATCCCGATAGCTACTATGAGTGATGATAGTTTAATTTTCTGTTGCTTCTTTGAAGTTCACCAGGATAGCATGAATAGGGTTATTCATAGCTTTGGAACACCGTGAACTTCGATCAAACAATGGTGAACTATCCCTACCCAAAATAACTATTGGCACCGTCGCGTATGTTTTTATGCTTCCGTTGAACAACTTCTCTCCAAACAGCTGTATAGCATTTGTTACAAAGAGACATGGACTTGTGAAGAAAAATATGTAAACAACACTTTATTTAGCAAACAAAATGCGTTTGAAAGGGGAATTCCTTTTGTTATCTAGACCAGTTGTTCTTTATCAGATGGACTCAAGCTCTTTATTGTTTTTTCATTTTATTTTGTTTTCCCATAAAATTTTGACCATTGTTATCGTTGTTTTAACTTAGAAAGAAGAAGTTTCTAAACATCAAATGAGGGAAACCATGATTCCTACTCGAACAGGTATTATAGTATATTCAAATACAACCACTGTAGCTGAAAAAAGACGTCACACGAACGTGTCTGACGTTTTCGCAATTTTCCAAGTATTTAGAAGTCTAATAGACAAGTACGTTTTAAACTACAAATCGTCAAAGCACAACCCTTTTGTATCCAGCTGTAATGTGATGTTTCCTTGCTTGAAATAATGTAGCTCGTGACTAATATGAATTTACAACTTTTGCTTTAAGTGCCCCTATGATCAAATTCTCGATATCCGTTTTTTTACATTTTCGTACACAATAAGTCTTTCCTAGATATTTTGCTAAATTTCAATCTATTACGAACATTAGAACCACGTTTTTCGGACCTTTTTTCTAAGAATTTACGGCCGCCATTAATTTTCCTTGTTCCAAGTCTTGGCTGAGAATAGGAGTAATTGACGTCATCTACTCAAAAATACCGCACGGGTTGAAATTAAAATAACAATTAGGGTAGAAAATTGCACAAAGAAAAGAGCCCAAGTTTTTGTTATTCTTTATGAGAATTGCTGTACTAATTATTATTATTATAATTTAACCCGTGTGGTATTTTTGAGTAAATGACGTCATTTACTCCAATTTTCAACCAAGCCTTGGAACAAGCACGAACGATCACGTTATCAAAGTTTGGAAAAACACGTACCACTATTTGACGGCGCCGGCTCATCGCAGCTGGTTTCTTCCGACACATGGTTAGCACGCATACGAAAGGCGAGGGAGAACCCGTAAACCTAATGTGACATATAATAATAGGATTTGACGCAGGGAAAATTTCTTCGCCTATGAAGAACGTCAGTTTGTGTTCCCCTCACTTAGAACCTATGAAGTAATATTCTGCATGACAGGAAGTTCCTCAACCGGAAGCTGGAGATGATGTCACATTTTATGTAAAATCATTTGACTGAACGGTTCAGCTTGATAAGATAAACTGAGATAAACGCCGGGATTCGAAATGTTCAAGTGAAATATTTCTCCTTCGCTTTCGTGCAAAGTCGAGGTTAGAAGATCAGTAATCCTGACAATATCATACTCTCGGCATCATGTTGTGAAATGGAAGCAACATCCAACTTTGTGGATCCACTCTATTTTCAAGCTCCTATGAGCAATAGTCAAATAGCATTGACACGTCAGCTGCAAATAGCTCTTCAGCGGAAGCCTATGGCATCGCATCATTCAACGTTGCCAGGGCAATTGATTTCAAGAGGTCTTGGAGTGAAGGACAATATTACCTGTTAACGATTACTCAGTTTCTCCAGATGAAAAGGCTCTTGAATTCACTTCGTCCACCCTATACTAGTTAAACAAGTATTTGCAGCACATAGAGTCACAACTGTCCAGATCTGAAAGAATGGTGCTAACTGCGCCTATTAACAATCAAGCAAATAATTTGAGGAAAGCTGTAACATAAATCATGTTCAGCCAGTCCAATTCACCCCAGCCCAAGTAGTAAGAGGGAATCAAAGTTATTATCATAAAGGCCATCATTGCCAAAGCACAGAAAAGAGAAGCAGATATTCGGATACTCCCACTTACCCTAAAAAGCTTCCCTACACAGTAATCCCCAATCTACGTCTCTTGGCAAACGAATGCTTTTTCTGGTAATGACCTTGTTCCGTTTCAATGCGAAGGAGTTAGTTATTTATCACTTATTTTTAGTAACCCTAACGTTTCGAGCATGAGCCATTTGTCGCTTTGGTCTCACGAGTAACGCTCGAATTTTACCGTCAACTTCAAACTGATAGATGGCTAAGTCAGTAATTAAATGTGATGTCCTGTTTGTATGTCGTTACATACATCTAACTCAGTAACCAATCGCGAGGGCTGTACTGGGAGAATATTGGCCCGAGATCCTAAAAAAAAATGAGCGCCGCTATTTTCCCAGTAGGGCCCCGAGAAGCTGTATTACACGACTGAAAATGTTTAGAAAAAATTCCACGATCACGAACTGGAAAAATATCGCAAACGTCTTTTTCGAAATAAAAAAACATCAAGCGCGTAATTCTCTAGCGCGGGCTAGACGTATACTCACGTTTGATAGTGCCTCGCCGCTCGGTCGGCGGTTCGGGAATACGGCGTTGATGTTGAAGGTGTTGCTACCACGAGAATTGTGATAGAATTATATGAAAAAAAAATTACAACTCTGTTATCTGTCAACATGACACGAGCGTGGGACAAAGAAAAATTCTGAGTCCCCGACAGTTCTCGTAGTTCAGTAGATAGAGCGCCCGTCCGGTGTTCGGGAGGTCATGGGTTCGATTTCTGTCGGGAACTCAGAATTTTTCTTTGTCCCACGCTCGTGTCATGTTGGTTAATTCACCTTCACATTTCATTACCGAGCTTAAAATTCACCATCTTTATTGACTTATCAACATGCATTTTTTTTTTCATTGCGCCGAGTTATTTCAATGCTAAATTGTAAATTTAAGTTTAATAATTTCGGTTTCACATTAGAAAAGCCGCAGAGTGAAAGAATGCTACCCTTTGCACCCAAAGGTTTTACTATATTCCTGTCCAATTAGTCCCCGAGTGTGAACGCTACGAGGAATTAGTCCCTGCAACCAGTCCCCTGGTGTAAACTCTTCGAGGGACTTGTACCCTAGTGTGGCCCGACCTTTAGAGACAGCTTTCGGTCCGATACTTAAAGCATATTGCACCGGCAATGAAGTAATCTGATTGGTTGATTTTAGTTATTGGCCCTCTGAACTAACCTCGTCGTGGAGTAATAGGGGTTATTTTATGTCATTGTCTTTCAGGTAGACGTTGTTCCCTGATGTGATAACAAAAGCCGCTTTAAATTCGACCAAGTGGAGCGTCACGTGAACGTTCCTACTACGAGATTGTAGTGAATATATAAGTAAAAAATGATCAGTTTATCCGAGTAGAATCAGTGAAAATGTTGTTAAGGATAATATTCCCCTGTACATTCCAGAAACTGACAGTGATTACTAACCATAGCCTCTCAGTATGTATTGTAGAACCAAACAAAAAGTAAAGTGTTTGATGTGAAACGACACCCAGAGAAAACTGGGCTCCAATAGGGATTTTGTTCACAGGCTTACATAAGCGAGACCTTTGTGGAATTACCTTATGCTTACATTAGATTAGATAGAAGTTTGTGTCGAAGCCTGGATGTACTAAAACAAGGTGAAATGTTCTCACGTTTCAATATGGGTTTTGTATAATAAGTTTCAAAATTGTCGCCCGTTTATTGGCCAATTGTTGTGGAGGCGGATCCAGGGGAGGGGTTAAGGAGATTACAAACCCCCCTTTGAGAAGCATTTTTTTTTGTTATATGTTTTACTCATCATAAAACTAATGGAATAAAATTGTTTTATACGTATGTAGTGATCGGGTAAGACGAAGGAAGACAAGTACAGTGTACACGCGTTCAGTCTAAGATGTAATTTTTACTGTAATCTCATTCTTGGATGATCATGTTACATTGGTAGATTATTAAATCACGTGTATCAATGATGTAATCGCTACAACGTAGTTGTTTGACTTCGGTTCCACTAATTGCCTGATTGTCTCAGCGGGAAAAGATGATGAACCTTTCGTCATTGCATTATTTATAAGGAAACTACAGATATATCATGTCGTCACAAACGTTTTTCAAGTGCCAGGAATGATGGAAATGGTGTTTTAGATGGTAAAATCGGAAAAACATTTTCCCTCTAGAAGTTCTTGCCTGCGGCGTTTTCCATCCACGCTGGTGGGGTCGAAGTTATTTAAGTGTACAACTACCCTCCCCCCCCCCCNATCCGTCCCCTGCACGAGGAAAGACCTGTCGCCGTACCGCCCTGATCTTAGACAAAACAAGCTCGTAGATAATAAAATATTAACGTGAAAACACCTGATGGGCTGAGAAAAATCTCATGCTAATTTGGGGACCCAAAATGTTGACAACGTTGGAAATTGTAAAAATATTTAAGCTAGTTAGGCTACCTCCCATGTAGAAACTAATCAATTTTTTAAACTTTGTATACTAAACCAGCATTAATTAGGCGCAGTTTAGATCTTCATTTAATAGTAGAGGTAATGCTGTAAACGGACGTTTCAAAAATTAAAGTTTAAATACGTCGTACCCAATCTTAAAGAACAGGACAAATACCTTCATTATAAGGGATCATTCGGGTTGAGAGACTTAGTTTTTTTTGTTTTACTTTGTCTTGTCTGTTTGGTTTTCGTTTTCTATAAGGTTTTCGTATTCAAATTAGGCCCCCTGCCCAGTAAGAGGTCGTCACAATAACAGGTATAAACGTGAGCGAGAATGCTAGTTTATTTTGGTCTTATTTGCTTCTTAACCAGCGAATTTTTTTTAGTAATTGCCAGGTAATACATGAGTGAGAAACACATGTACATATAATACAGTTTTCAAAGAAGATAAAAACCGGGTTCCATTAGTTAAGGAAAAGAACAATAAACAAGACAAGCGAGAAATTGAATACGAAGTGAGTACTGATGTAAAAGAGAAAGCAATCTGCACGACTAACACATGAGCTGATCTCGCTTCAATTCCTGCAAAATGAAAAGAGAAGAGTAGAACTGAATCTATCGATATTAAGAACTATACAGCTCTTCAATAAGAAAAGCCTAACCTAAGTAAAACACACAAGGACGTGAAAGGAACGCATAAGGAATCGCCTCTTCTAACTGACTGTTTACGTCCTCGTGTGCATTTATTAGAACAAAGTACACCTGCGTTGCAGTTATAAGTACTAGTTTATGGAGACATTTAGCGTCCGAGGACTAAACGAACCCGCGATTTTTGTTCCTAAAGTTACTACGCAATGTAACGTACTAACATGACGTCACCCTGGCACAACTGTTGTTCAAATAGTCCTATTAATTTTGACCAAAAATCAGAACATCTTGGAGTATTTCAACAAAGATTTGCTGGAAACGACAATCTGTTCCAGGGATTTCATTCACTTTAAAGTGACAGGAATCCTGGGAACATCTGCTGAACTACATGTACTAGTAAAGCTGTTAGCAGA